AGGATCCAGGTTCCCTTGCCAGTAAAAAGTATACCTGGAATAGTATCCAGGTTCCCTTGTCAGTATAAAGTATACCTGGACTAGTATCTATAGGTTCCAGGCAACCCTTGCCAGTATAAAGTATACCTGGAATAGTATCCAGGTTCCCTTGTCAGTATAAAGTATACCTGGACTAGTATCTATAGGTTCCAGGCAACCCTTGTCAGTATAAAGTATACCTGGAATAGTGTCCAGGTTCCCTTTCCAGTATAAAGTATACCTGGAATAGTATCCAGGTTCCCTTGCCAGAATAAAGTATACCTGGAATAGTATCCAGGTTCCCTTGTTAGTGTAAAGTATACCTGGAATAGTGTCTAGGTTCCAGGAACCCTTGCCAGCATAAAGTATACCTGGAATAGTTTCCATGTTCCCTTGTCAGTATGAAGTATACCTGGAATAGTATCAAGGTTCCCTTGCCAGTATAAAGTATACCTGGAATAGTATCCAGGTTCCCTTGTCAGTGTAAAGTATACCTGGAATAGTATCTAGGTTCCAGGCAACCCTTGTCAGTATAAAGTTTATTGGAAGAGTTGGGGAAGGAATATCACCCTGAAAATTAACAAAATGATGAAATATTAAGAAGATATTAAGTAAACAAATTCTAAAATAAAATCAATTTGATTTGTTGAAATTTTTGTTTCAAGAAATATCTTTTTTGATGATTTTTTTCCTAAATTTAGATAATTTAAACAATAATTTTGCATTACAAGATTATCTAAGCATAAATAATTTTACAAAAAAAGGAATCGCTTAAATAAAAAGATTTTAACAACTAAAATCAAATTCATCTTATATTTCGTTTTCTAAATATCTTCTTTTCCGCGTAAAAAACATTTTAAGTTTTAGTGTAAAAGCGAAGGCTCGGTGCAGTATAGCAAATCTAAGAGGCTCATGGCGGCCGTGGATTCCCTCCCACGTTTTGATGCGTCAATTGAGAGCAGTTGAGGAGTCAACACCTCTCTTAAGAAAGCATGCAAAATGTTTGCTAATTATAAGAGGACTAGGGCCGAATCCCTTATAGAACTTCGAGAGTAAACCTTTTAGGTTCCCGTTTGATAAATGTGGATATCAAGTGTACTAGAAACATCGAGAATGGGTTTACACCCTTTGACCATTTTGGATATCAAGTCTACTTGAAACATCGAGAATGGGTTTACACCCTTTGATTATTGTGGATGTCAAGTCTACTTGAAACATCGAGAATGGGTTTACACCCTTTGATTATTGTGGATGTCAAGTCTACTAGAAACATCGAGAATGGGTTTATACCCTTTGACTATTGTGGATGTCAAGTCTACTAGAAATATCGAGAATGGGTTTACACCCTTTGATTATTGTGGATGTCAAGTCTACTATAAATATCGAGAATGAGTTTATACCCTTTGATTATTGTGGATGTTAAAATTCTACTGGAAACAAAAATTGGATTAGACCCTTTGATGAGTGCGAAATGTGGATGTCAAGTCTACCTGCAACATCGATAATGGGTTTACACCCTTTGATTAGTCTGGATGTCAAGTCTATTAGAAACATCAAGAATATGCTGAAAAAGTCTGTATGCAGTTGGGGTATGTTTTAATTACGAGCTGACTTGTTCGAAATATTGCTTACATTTTTATTGTTACCAAAATTTGATACTTTTCCTGAATCAACTTTTTAAGTGCAAGGAATTTATTCCTTAAAGAAAAATATTATCAAAAGTCTGACTATAGAATTCTTTAAAATAGCAGGTTTATGAAATTGGAGATTATGAGAGTGAATAATGAATACATCTAATATCATTCATAACAAAACAAATTTAAACTATACCATTAATATATATAATATGTAATATATGTATGTATATTAAATGTGTGTGAATAAATCTTTAATAATAATATAATTCCCCAAAACCATACCGCAGTCCTTCAATTATCATACAGGGAAATTTTCAACGTTCTAAATAACCCAGGGAAAGATTTGACACATTCTTTGAGGAAAATCGGTTAAGTGGTCTCCCGAGTTATGATCGGACAAACAAACAGACAAACCGAGATTACTACTTTATACATCTATGATGAATACCGTGAGTGGAATAAGATGAAGGAGAAGAACTCCAAGTGCCCAAACATCTACAGCTTGAGTCAGGGTTGTCAGGAACAAAGATTTATTCTCCTTTACCACAACCTAGAAATAGTGTTTTAGATCGTTAACAAAAAAAAATAAAAAATGTCAAAACTTTATAATGTTAAAGTTTGCTTTATTTAACTTTGCAAAATCTTTATCCTAAAAAAATAACGGAAAACGATATCCAAAAACGATCATAAAACGATCAAAAAACGATCGTTACAACACGTTCGTTAAATCGTTTTTTTTTGCATTTATCTTTGTCAAGAACATCATTTGATGTACGGTATGTAAAGCAAAAATTCGCTCTATATACACAATGCCATATTTTGACACAGAAAGAAAATAAAGGGAAAAAACAATCTAAAAAGCAAACCAACTGAAGCTACATCACCTGGGAGGTGAAACATTCAGGAGCCAGGAAGGGTTCAGTGCCCTGTACATTTTCAACCTAAAATAAAGTAAATAACAATTAGAAATTTTCATTCTATTTCTAAAATATACTTTGCTTGTCTGTCTTTTTTGTTTCCATTCAAATAAACGTCAAAACGGAAATTTTTTTGTGGCACCTCACATGGATGCATACAATCACAAAAAGTTATGAAAGTCTACGAAAACAAAATTGTAAATCCGCAGAATTTTTTTTTTTGCTTCTCTATCTTTTGGTTTGTTTGTTTTAGTCGTTTAGCTGGTTACACACATTTAATGTTAGCCATCTAGCTGGTTACACACGCTTAATGTTAGCCATCTAGCTAGTTACACACATTTAATGTTAGCCGTTTAGCTGGTTTCACACATTTAATGTTAGCCGTTTAGCTGGTTACACACGCTTAATGTTAGCCGTTTAGCTAGTTACACACATTTAACCACTCCACCACATCATAAATTCTGTGCTTGTTCACTGTTCTCCTCAGATGATAATATTTTCTTTAGAAAAGTGAACATAATGACAACAAAGGATAAAAAGTGCGAGTTTAACAATCTTTTTCATCCTTTTCTCATTTTTCTTATCTCTACTTCCAGCAATAACATGAATATTTTTATTTTATTTTTTTCCATACAGGAGTCACCAAAAAAATGTGAAAATACTTTATTATGGTAAAATTTTATTCTGTTGACGAAACTTAATACTGGCAATTTATTTGTGTTACAATATTGTAATTATTGTTTGTATAATAAGGCAAAAAGAATATGTTTTGTTTTTGATAAATATAATTTTTTCTTCAGTAATTACAATCAATGACAAGAACAGACATGTTAGACCAAGTGTCAAACATTTAAGTAATGCTGAAAAGTTTTTCCACAAACCTCAGAAAAATTTATTGATTAATCATAGTTTACCTCATCACTTTTTTATTTGAAAACTCTCGATCCTACTCCTACTCCTACTCCTACTCCTACTTCTACTCCTACTCCTACTCCTAATCCTACTCCTACTCCTACTCCTACTCCTACTCTTACTCCTACTCCTACTCCCACTCCTACTCCTACTCCTACTCCTACTCCTACTCCTACTCCTACTCCTACCTGTACAGATGAAGCTCCTGCAGGAATTTCTACTGCTAAACCAAGATCTATCACCTGAAATAAACAATGATTAAAACATTGTACAAGTTTAACCCAAAACTTCGAAGTCATCAAACAAAGTTATTAAATGTCGTCTTCTACACCTACTGAAAGAGGAATGCTGCAGAAATTTCGTTTTATAAAATTTAATAATTATATTGAGCTTTTTAAACTGTTCCCGCATATGTCATGGCTATTTATTTATTTTTACAAATACTGAGATTTAGGTCTAATAGTATAAAACCCATCACAAAATTGTGAAGACGACATTTTGTAAATTCTTTGCATGTCTTCACAGTTCTGGGTTAAACTGCACATAAACTTGCATTATAATATGCAATCAATTCCAAAATGGCTGAATATATAAAAAAAGTTTTTGTTGTATTTTATTCACTTTTATTAATTTTTCTTTCAAATGATGTTGTTCTTGATTTATATATTTTATTGTATTTCTCTTTCATATCAAGATCTGAATAATCAATAAAAGGGAAAGTTCGATGAGAGAATGACTTTTTCTCAACATAGTAAACATAATTTTAACAATATTTGGAATTTTTGGAATGAAAACAACACACGTACAGGGTATAATAAATTTATCTTTCAATCCAAAGAGAATCGAAATAATGACACATTTTTACATTATTAATTTTTATAATATATATATAATAATATACATA